ATATTATTATGAATATATTAATTAATTTATTGTTGATTCATTTCTTTTATTATAATTTTAATGTTCATTCATTTAATTCATTCATTCTTATCTTTATTCATTTCAATTGTTTGTTATCTTTTAAGTATTTCTAATTCAATATAACATCATTGTTTATATATTCAAATTAATGATAAAAATGAATAAGAAATTAACAAGAAATGAAAAGAGTTGAATGAAAAGTTCAATAATATGAAAATGAATAAGAATAATAACAAATAAAGAATAATATCAAATTCATGTTGTTAATCTGTTTATTGTGAATATTTTGAAATGTATATTTGTTATTACAATAACAACTGTTCATAAACAAAATATTTGATGTTAGATGTTTGTTATGTAGAATATTTGATATGATAAATGAAGAAAATGATAATAAAGAAAGAAGAGAATAAAAGAAGAAACAAATAATAATAATAGAATAAAATAAACAAAGAGATATAATAATAGAATAGAGTAAATAATATTCTAGAAATGAATAAGAATAGAATATTTAATTATAAATAAAAACAACAAAGAATAAGAAAACATGAAATAATAAATAATAAATGAAATAAAACATAAAATGAAATAAAACAATAAATAAAAGAATGAAATCATATTACAAATGATAATAAAAGAAATGAAAGAGATGAAAATAACAATGAATGAAATAAAATATAAAAGAAACAGAAAATAATAAAGAATTTAATGAAATATAATAAAAGAAATAGAAAACATGATACAAGTATATTCAAAATATTTTATTACTAAAGAGATAAACAATGATAGATTTGAATTAATCATTCATTATAATAATCATTTAATTTGTTATTCATATCTTATTTTTATTTACATTTTTGTTTTCATAATTATACAATAATTATCATTATGATACTTTTCATTTTATATTTATTCATTTAATAATTTATTAATATCATTATTTCATACATACTTTCATTGTATATTATTTATGAAGTTATTCAATTGTTATTTTTATACTTTGTTTATGTTGAATAAAAAATGAAATTTAAGAATATCAATAATATGTTAAAATGATAGAATTACATATTGAAGATAAATGATAATAAAGATAAATGAAATACATTTAGAAATAACATATATTTAAATGAATAATAAAATAAATGAAAATAAAATAGAAAATAGAATAACATTATTAATCTTATTAATCTTATTATCTTATTAAATAAACATTGATTCACATTAACATTGTTATTAATAACATTCAATTATAATTTTAAATCAAATAATATAATTATTTATGATGAAAATAAATTAGAATAAAAGAATCTAATTAAATTTATTTTGATTCTTCAATGATATTCATCATTTCTCTTGTTAATAAATTATGAATTCTTGTATTTTTATAAGTTAATAAAATAATATGTTTATATTAACTAAATACAATGATAACAATAAAATATTCATATTTTTCATTATTTGAATACATTATTTCATTTATTTATTTCATTCTGATCATCATTTACATTATTCTTGATATCATAATTAATTAATATAAAATATAAATCAATATAATGACATTTCATGATTTAATATTTGAATAAATTATATAATAAATCATGTATGAAACAATAAAAATACAATAAAATCATTATCAAAACAAGAATATAATAATATCATATTTATTCATTGAATACAATTTTGAATACTCAATCATTAAAATGAATATTTATTCAATTTATATTATTCTCTCTTTTTTAAATCATCTTTATTATATTTCATTTCAATTTCATGTTTATTCATTTGTGAATGAAAATATAAATGAAATATATTATGAAATTAAATTATAAATATAAAGAAATGACAAATATGATAGAATAAATAAAGATAAATAAGAAATACAGAAATTTATAATAAAAATAACAATTAATAGATATACCACAATTTGATTTTATGATTATTGAGAAATGATTATTTTAGTGATTTCAATATGTTCTATTTCTATAATAGAATTCATTTCAATCAGATGAGAATTAGAAGGTTCTTCTTCTAATGTGTTGCCAGTGTTGAATGTGTAGAATATTAAGTATTTCATGTTTTTAATAATGATTGTTTGTAGTATTTTGTTCAAGTCATTTGTAATTTTAGTGATTTTAATCTTCTTACTGTTTCTTTATGTATCAACCCATTGATTGTTAATATTACAAGTATTATTTCTACATAAATTAATCCTCTATTTTGTATTAACTTCTCTTGTAATTCTTTGTATTTATTCATTTTGTAAATATAATTTAATTCATTATTTCTATCTTGACATATATCAACATCATTAATATATCCTTTTC